GAGAGAATAAAAAGATGAAAATAAAGTGTTTGTAGATGGGGAGGGGAGGAGGGGGTGGGGGGAGGGCAGAGGTAAGGGGAAAAAATGAGAATCAAGACTTGTCATGTAGAGGTAGAAGATCCCAACAATGAATGTAACTGTACCGTATCCCTAAAATGTACCAATAAACTCAATTAAAGCTAAAAAAAAAAAAAAAAAAAAAAGGGAAGAAGAACCCTAAAAAAAAAAAAAAAAAAAAAAAAAAAAAAAAAAAAAAAAAAGGTGAAAGGAGAAGCCAGGAAGGCTTTACTAGAAAGGCTTTACTTCTGAGGAGGGCCTTGAGATGTTTGGTGGGAGCAAGGGACCAGAGGAAAAAGAGAAATGGTAAGAAAGAGTACGAGCCAGGTGCTTAGTGCCAAAAACCAGTGTGAACCATAAATGTATGGAGTGTAGAGGAAAATGAGGCTCGTTTGGCCTGTGGCTAAAGTTTTCAACTGGAAATTAGGCTTTTCTCTTTTTTTTAAGGCACAGGCTTCACCCATGTGGAAAAGAGGTAAATAGGAGAAGCAGGAATAATTCGCATATTTATAGGGTCAGGAAGTCGCAAGGTCAGGCAGAAAGTGAAGAAGAGTGAGCTATAGAGTCAATAGTCAGCCTAAAGCTTTTGATCTCCAAAAGAAATCAGTTTTCTGAGTAAAATAATTTGTCTAAATTGGAGGGTCAAAATATGCTCCCGGCACATGCAAGCATCAACACGTTTTAAGTATTTGGTAGAAATGTAAATTCTAGTGCTTAAGCTCAAATTTATGGAAACCGAAAGTCAGCAATCTATGATTTAATTAATCCTGTATATGACTATGCTATGCTCCATTTGAGAACATTGTTGGCTTATGTGATGAGGATGCTTAAGGGAATAACAAAGTTTTTAAAATAATACCTTAGTTCTTCTTCATGCTGCTTTATAGACTAAATCTCTGGAGACAGAAAATATGCTTTTGAAACTATATAGATTATAAGTTTGACTTAGGATATATGCACATAGTTCACATTCCCCCAATTTCTCCCTGTAAGCCACAGTTTTGAGCATGATCTGTAAAGTGGACCATTGATTTAAATTGAGTCAAAGATTAAGTGAAAAATTTCTAAAACTGGGCTGGGGATGTAGCTCAGCAGTGTCTCACTTGCCTGGTAAACTCAAGGTCCTGAGTTCAATTCTTGGTACTGGAAAAAAAATTCTGAAACTATAGAAGACCAACTTAAAAATTTCACCGTAATTGCAGCTCCTTAATCAGACTGGGATGTCTTCTGAAGATAAAATGAATAGATGCTTAGCTGTGTGTAAATTCGCATGGATTGTTAAAAGAGATGGTATAGTAAGGTGCATAGTAATTATCTCCTACATTTATTTTATTAAAGTAATACATGCACCTCTCCTTTTGTGTCTACCAAAATATTCTGCATTAATTTAATACGTTATTTTTATCTTACAATATTCACTGCTCTCTTTACTATGCCTACTTGATTACTGTAAGGATTTCCTTTACACACATTAAAGTAAAAAAACAAAAGAGACCTTTGGGGTCATCTGATTTGCTTGGGGAATCAGGTATCTTTGATTGAGTTGTCTAATAATCTAAATCCATAAAGCATTCAGTTCTTGATTTGGTAAAACTCAACAGACAATTACTGAACCAAGTGATTTCAGAGACACTAAGATACAGAAGACAATGGCAACTAAAAAGTGGGGGGAAAGGTATTACAAATATCACAGGACTTCTTTCCTTCTTTTAGTTGTTTCTTTTTCCCTCATAAATGATCTTATTTTGCCTTATGACAGTCACCTTTTCCTCTCCACTTACACTTCATTCAGTTAGGCCATCCAGTGCTCATGACTTCAGAGAAGAAATAAAACTCGGCACAACCTTGAAATGAGTGTCTTCATCACTTTGTTCTTCAGAACCTGAAGGACTTTAAAGAAAACAAGAGGAACCCAGAACCAGAGTATATTTGGGAGGAGCATAAAATGAAAATCATAGGTCTGAGGGAGGGCAGCTTTCCCCTAATATCTCCATCAGCTGGCATCAGCAGCAGATAGAAAGACAATGGAGTGGGCGGCTAGTGTTGGCCAGCGGTGGGAGAGTGTGATGCCTCCCGCACCTGAGCACACCTGTCCTTATGGGAGTGGGAACCACCCAGCCCACTCACGCTGCCATCCACATTGACATCCGAAGACTTCTCTTCAACTGCCATTGGTCATTCTCATCATTTCACAGGAAGACTCTACCCCGAGACTTTTCCTGGGCTGTGTCCCATTTATCTCTGTGTCAATCTCTCCAGCAATCCTACCATCCTAGAGCACAAGGCTAAAGACCTAGAGAAGGGTAAAATTCTAAACACATGAAGGATAGAACAAGCAAGAATAGTGAAAGACTTATCGCCTTCCTCCCACATTAAGTAGTTTTGACAGGAGGGTAGCAAATGGGTCCACTCAAGATCTTCCTCAAAATTCTTAGTAACAGTTAATAGATAACTTTTGCAAATGGGCAAGGCTTCAGCATTGGTACTGAATTAAAGTGCAGTTAATGCACTGAAATTTAGCCCCTTTTCAGAACTTCTAAGCTCTAGGAATGGTCAAAATCCACTAGACCTGTCCTAAAAGACATTCTGAAGACCTGTTTGTCTTAAGTAGATGACTAATTCCTTATTTAAATTGACAGTGATAGGCTGGCATGGTGGCACAAGCCTGAAATCCCAGAATTCTGGTAGGCTGAGGCAGGAGGATCACAAGTTCAAGCCTAGCCTGGGCAACTTAGCAACTTAGTAAAACTCTGTCTCAAAAAATGAAAAAGGAGGCAAGTGGATTAAGGATGCAGCTTAGAGTGAAGGCCCAGGGTTCAATCCCAGTGCTGCAAAGTAACAATAATGATTAAATGGTAATGATAGCCTTAGTTTAGAGTTCTTCCATCACTTTTATTATTCTCAACAAAGTTCCTACTAGGTATCATGTGCAACAGTGACTTTCAGGACCATCTTGAGAGTATGCAGTCACAATGCATAATGCCAAATGCTGTCAGGCAGGTAAATGGATTTTGCTAAGTCTTCTCCTCAAATACAAGCACATCTCAGCAACCCTACAAGTGCTAGGGTTCTTTCTTTGTAAAAGGTTAGAAGACCTCCATTTTTCAATTCCTAATATCCTCTAATAATAGCTCAGTAGAAGACAGATAATAAAGTGTCTGTTCTGATCTTATTCAAATAAGCAAGAAAATTATATTACTGCTCACTCATTGTTTTGTATAATTCTGGATAAATGGTATCAAGAATATTTTTATAAGGCTGGGGATTTAGCTCAGCAGTTTGGTGGCCTGCCTTGCAAGCGCAAAGACCAGAGTTCAATCCCTGGTACCAAAAAAAAAAAAGAATACTCAGAAATTGATCTAAGTAACAAAAATGTAGGTTACATTATGCTCCACAGGCCTGAAAAGTCATCTCTACTGGAGATGACTATTATTATTATCTAATAATAATCCTGAAATTTATCTGGATTTCACACTGTAGTAGCTGGAAATCAGCTGGGGAAAATTGGAAATTAGTTTAGCTGTTTTAATCATGTTTTAAGATGAGATATAATATTTACAAATAGCCTCAACTGCAATGTTACAGTTGATTTTTTTCAACATTTTTTAGATAAATCGGAGTCCTCTGTAGGAAAAAGCATGCAACTTGAGACCATAATGTTAAGTAAAATAAAGCAAACACAGAAGGTGAAATATCATTGTTTGTCTTATATAAGAAACCCAAAATATAAATGATTTGAGAGCAAACTAAAAGGTAGCAGGGAGATAGATTTTGTGGACATAGAAAGGGGATGTGGGGATGAAGGAGGAGGGCCGGGAATGGAAGTGGAAGTAAAAATGAGTAAGATGTGATGTGCATATGTACTAATTTCTCGAGATAAATATAATTATGTAGCACAAACATATACAAATAAAGTACCAATATAGTCTGCTTAAGGACTGCCATGTCAAACAGGCCTTCTTTAATTATTCCTTTTTATTTTAATAAAGCAGAATGATACATAAATGGTTTACCAGGTGACTATTCTCCACTCTTATGTTAACATTCCACAATGTTGTTACAATAGGATCGTAGAAAGGAGTATTTTTTAAAATTGCAGAATTCAAATTAATTTTCTGACAGGAATAAACAAACATATCTTCTATTGCACTCCTACTTGTCAATGACTTTCTTCGAGTTGGAAATACCAGTTTCCACAGTTTTTATGGCTTTTTGAAGGATATGCAAGGGTGGTTCCACAGCCTTGACAATGTGCTCCAAATGATCTGCTGCTGACTCTCTGGGATTGCTGGCATTCTCAGTTTTTAATGCATCCTGTAATTTTTTTCAAGGTGTCTTTTGTAGTGAGTTTGGAAGGATCTGGACTCATGGTTTTCCCAGATGTGGTGGCATCTGATTGCTCCTTGGTATCTTCTCTATAGAAATCACTTAATCAAAGATTCATAATGGAGAATGTCATCAAGAATGAAAGTAAAGATTCTAGACTCTTAAAGATGTTACTACTCCTCAGCACAGAAACAATGACTGGTGTCTGGATACTGCTGAACAATCCCTTAGCTGAATGAGGCAACTCTACAGTGGTACATTTCTCAGCTACAGAGCACAGAGCTGTTACAACCTTGGACCATAATGGTTCTGTCTGCATTTTGTTGTGCTTTGCATTCACTACTGACTTCATTTCCTTACAACTTTTGAGCATTTGTTCAAAGAAGTCCTTAATGTTACTATCTTCTTTCACAGCGGTCAAGAGGATCTGAGTGTTCATATTACAATTAAACAGATCAACAAACGTATTTGTGGAAGAAACAAGATGTTGTACATGGAAGAAGAACGTTTTTGCAGCTTGAGTCAGTCTGTCTTTATTCTTTTCGAACTCTAAAGACATTTCTTCAACCAAGGAGTTTCCAAATGAAAACTAAAAGTGAATTTGGCAAACATGAGGAAACTGAAGGTATAACATAAACATGAAGATAACTTCTGCCAAGGGCAGGGAAGTTATGCAAACTTTAAAGCAGAAATGATCCTGTGCTTTAATAACAAAATAATTTAAAATGCAGAAGGAAATATCAGTGAATTTATACAGCGAACATATCAAATATTGTTAGATCCTGAAAATATGGTTATGACATTAGTCTCAGAATTTTTTTTAAGTTAAGACATATTTGGCTTTATCTGAATTTCTATCTTTTGAGGACCTAAACAAAGCACCAGCAATGGGTAAAGGCACAGATGTGTAGAAGCTAGTGGAAACCTAATACAGGGCGCCACCAACACATTGGAATCCTAAAATCTCAGAGCCACAGCCTAAAAGCCATCTTCCCTACTGCACTGACTTAGTTCACCAAGGAAGCATCTTTCAACCATGGAAAGTCTATTAAATAACAGAAGTTTTAAAATTAAGTTTTACCACTCTATTAGTCTTTGCAATTACACTACTTAACATACACAAAGTTTATATTCATCTAAGAAAGAGAAGAAAGCTGAGCACCAAGCTGGGCAGAAGTAACCCATAAACCAGACAGGCAGAGGGACCCAGCAGAAACTAGCAAAGCCTTTTAGTCATCACATTCCACCACCAGAAGCACCCAGATGAAACCAGATGAGAAAGCACTTCAGCAATACCCCCAAATAACTGCTGCAACTACGAATTCGGGAACACGGCAAGGTAAGTAATGTGGATGCTTCTATCAGTATTGATATAATACTCTGATTGTCAGTGTAAAGGTGACTTGGGGATAACGTGTCAGTCTTGAATCATAGCCATAAATAAAATAACAGCTTTATTATAATAGGATACCATAGTATTTTGTGTGTGTGCAATTATTTCTTTGAAGACACCAAGGAAGGAAGAAAATTAACAACTTCTAAAATTGAGGCACAGGTGAAGAAGAGCCTAGAATTTAGAAAAGTTGAAGGATGAACTGACATTTGTGTGAATGTGTGTTGTTTATATGGATGGTGAAATTTCCATCTACGTCATTAATATTGAGGCACTGAGTATCTGTGAAAAACTGAATGTGAACTCATATTCACGAGCTTAGCCTCATTCATAAGTTAAATCATACTTAACTATACTAGGTATTTACTGTGTGCCCCAAATATCTTCAATATCTTATTGAGGATAAAGATATTTCGTTTTTCTTCCTAGATGATTCCAGGTACATAGCATAAATGTTCATAACTGAATATCTGATAAATGTTGACAAATAACTTTGATATTCTGCTTTCTGGTCACAAGCAGTATTATTTTCTGGTGAAGAATTAGGTCAGAATCACAGCAATGAACTTTTTAAAATTAAAGCCTATGGATTCAGTTTGAATTACATAAGGCTCAGAACCAGACAGTAGCTGTTGTTTTTCCCCTGCAAGCATGCCAATTAAAACTATACCCTATTTCCACACTCCCAAAACAGAATACCTTGCATGATTCAAGGGCAGTGAGGGACAAAAGACTAGAGAGGAATATAGAACCTCAGGGAGCCCTGATGGCTAATAGTCAGAGACTTGAGTCCAAGCCAACAAACATTTTATTTGTTTGTTTTTCTTTTTTTTAATTGTTATTATGGGAAAAACTCAAATATATCTAAAAGCAGAAGCAATGATATAATAAATTCCCATTACCAAGTTTTAATATGTATCAAAACAAGGCCAACCTTATTTTCTCTCTAATCCTTCCCTACTATTCCTCCCAGATTATTTGGAAGCAAATTTTAGACATCAAAATATTTCATCTTTAACATGTTCAGTGTGTATTCTAAAAATGCAAGAACATCCCTTTTTGAAATTTAACCTTACATTTTCCCAAATCAACAATATTTCGACCGGACCATCTTTGACTTTGAAGAAGATATAGCATTCTGCTGTGAAAATTTATTTTTGACTTGCAACACATAACAAAAGAAGTAAAACATTAATTATATGATTCTTCTAGCTATTTATCTTGAGGAAATAATTCAGGTGATATAGGAAGAAAATAATCAATTAGTTACATTAAAGTTCTCATTAGAACATTATTTGTGATAGTGAAATAATTAGGGATTTATCAAATGATGACAAATATATGGAATAGTTTATGTAACCAATAAAATGTTTATAAAACTAGAAATATGGTAGTTAAGTGAATTTTATTTATACTATTACTAACTTGTCATTGATGCATGCAAACAAATTTTAGAAAAACATAACAAAAATAATTAAAATGGAAGGTTTATGGATTCTTTTTCTCCTCTATTTTAAGAAGTCTGTATATTTGTGACAATAATCTTATATTGAAAATTACTTTGTTTACAAATTTTTCCCTTTTTATTTCTCATGTTGTAATTCTACAATCTCATGTCACATTCTCCATGAAGCTTTCTATAACCACCTCAAATATTCTATCTCTTTAAAGTCCTATAGCCCTTGGGCTGGGATTTATCTCAGTGGTTATATCCCCTGCCTCATAAATACAAGGTCCCAAGTTTGATCCCTGGTACTAAAAAAATTTTTTTAATTAAAAAATTCCTACAGCATTTGGCAGACAATGGCCCACTGTTATTCACAAACATATCCTGAAAAGTTTTATTTGAAAATATGTAATCAATACGCTTTCATCTTGTAATGTGAAAAACAAAATCAATTATATAACATCCACTAAATAAATCTTAAATTTTAGACATGATCATCCATATATTTCTAATAGTTTTTATATCTTCTTTAATTATGAGTGTTTACTTCCTAATGCAACAGAATTGACAAGGCTCATGCCAACTAGCATCCATTTCAAGCTCATCTTTCTATTAATACTTTCAGATTGTTCCCTTGTAATTTTTATTAAGTAACAAGTAAAACCTTTGTTTTAGCAATGAAACTTTCTCATCAAAAATTTTACCCATCCAAGATCAAAAGTGAGAGCAAGAAGTCACAATTGCTTTAGCAAAGGCTTGGGTGAAGCAAAAATTCCAGAGCTCCCCCCACTGGCTAGCGATTCCTCAGCAGCCTGCTCTAGGACTATTTCATGGAGTGCTACAATAAAATATTCAAATAACAGCACAAACTGCACCAAAGTGGATAGTAACTCATGGAAGAACTCAAATTATATAAAAGTTCAAATTTGCCATGCAAAGGTGTAGTTAATAAGAGCTGCAATAAATACTGCTGAGCTACCTGGTAATGCCGTGCTTTGTATAAGTGACCAGGTCATCACTGAAAATGTAATAAAATAGGGGCAAGCTCATGGCCTAGAACACCTCTCAGGCACAGTGTTCTATATCTTGGTAAGACATCAGCTGAAGTTCGCCCTGAGTAGTAACCATGACGTTTAAAGAGAGTGACTCCAGTTTCAGGTCATTTATTTTGCTGGATGGAGTAATTAATTTGAGATTTGGAGTTAGATTATTAAGGGTAATAATAAAAACATTGCACATTGCCAGCTACAGCTCTCCATGTGGTTTCTAACCCTTCCTTAATTGTTAAGCACATATTTAAGGAAATGGATTTGAGAGAGTATGAAGAACTTTCCCTAGAAGATCAAACTGTCTCCCTCTGGCCATGGTGTTAGTATATATTAAAATGCAATTGTATAAAATATAAATCTACAGGACTGGGATGTAGCTCAGCAGCACAGTGCCTGCCTGGCAAGTGCGAGGTCCTGAGTTCAATCCCTGGTACAAAAAAAAATTTTTTTTTAATTTACAAAAGCCAAATACCAACAGTTCTTATAACTTTGTAAGACAAGTAACTTTCAACTGGACATTATATTTACAAATCTATCTTAATTCCCTAATAAAATTAGAAATCATCATTACTTTCCTGAACATGTATGAATCTTGCCTGTTAAGTCTTTCAGATATATTTAATGATTAATCTGTGAAATCATGGCAAAATATTCACTTAATTGAAAACAAACTGACCACGTAGAAGTATTAGCCTCCTGTCCAGGAGGAAGTTTCATATTTCCATTGATCTGGAGGTACAGAGAAACACACATCTTTTCAGAAAGCTACGCCTTCATATAATCATAGATGCTAGAGAGACTTCCCAATTTCTCAGGGTAAGAAAGATGGATCTCACCTAAATAACTGAATAAGGATGCAGTGGACTGTCTTCTGGATTCAAAGTCAGAAACTGGAGTTTTATTTCATAATATCTGAAAATGAGGAAAAAGCAGAGGAAGTGTTTAATGAAAATTTCTGGAAGGGGGAAAAAGGACTCAAAACCCAAATTTGTGCTTATCAGATTGTAATTTACAACCCATTGGAAAGTCTGGGGAATATTTAGTAGACTCTTGACAAGCAATTTTTAAAAATGGAATAGAATTAGAAAATTTTCCAAATATTGTTTTGTGGAAATCTGTGTCTATTGTGTTTGTGCATGTGTGTGTACACATGCTGGATCCAAACAGAGGATAAAGTGAATTAGTGTCTACGGTAGTTCATTCTGCCAGGGAGTTTCAGTACGTTTTTCTGAATGTACAAGTAAATGGTTATTTACTGTGTATTTCTAATCCATTTTAGAACCCATTTCTCCTTTCCAACTCCAAATTACATCTTTATGACTGGGAGGATAAGGCTTTCTTTTTGTCTGTATCATTTCTGGGTTGGTTTTGTTTGTTTGGGATTTTTGAGAAAAGGTCTCATTGGCTTTGAACTCATTAGTAGGTAGCCCAGGCTGGCCTCAAACTCACAGTGATCTTCCTGCCTTAGACTCCCAAGTGCTGGGATGACAGGTGTGTGCCACCATGCCCCACTTAAACATACGTTATCTTCATGTTTACTTTCCTGTCCAAGAACCATGATACTACCATACACAGGCCCCAAATTAATCAGGATGTTGCTTCCTCCAAAAGAATATTTCAGATCCCTCACAGACAGAAAACACCATGCTTTTTCATTTCTCATGCAGGTTTAACAGAAAAATAAAACTGCAAGCCAAACAGGAAGCCTATTTAAAGTATGTGTATTAAGTGATTTATTTCTCTTATTGTGCTTTAAGACTACTCAGCCAAATCTCAAAAGAACACAGTTGTTCCTTTTTTCTCTGAATAGTGCTGTGAGCCAAAGTATAAGACGTCAAGTACAATTCCAAGACTCCAGCCAGGTATATTTATCCTATAGTGTTTTTCACTATGTATTTTTTAAATATTTTGCAAAATGGTACTATTATTGCCAAGCATGATGGTCCCTGCTGCCATGCCAGCACTTGGGAGGCTGAGCAGGAGGACCGCCACGAATTCAGGGCCAGCCTGGGTGAGTTCAAGGCCAGCTTGAACTACATAGAGAGACCCTGTCTCAAGAAAAAAACAAACAAAAAAAGATGGCATTAATTTCTTTCTGACCCTAATTCTAGCTTATCTTACAAATAGTCAAGTACAATACAGACAACTCTAAATAATTTACAAGCTTTGCAAGTGGAGAATCCCACATTCGTGACTGTACTGTCTCATACGGTACCCACCTTCTCTCCACATGAAAAGTCAGCCAAGAGTCGTGATATATACTTTTATTGTGAGAAATGTTTTCAAAGATTCAGTTTTATATATGCCTTGCCTTTGGAAATCTCTTTGGTTTAGAACACAAATAATTTGCCTATAAAGTGATTTAAATATTCTAATTAGAATAATCGAATACATAACAAAATGTGCATCAGTAGCCTTATTCAAAATTTTAATATTCTTCTATTCATGACTTTTAATTTAACTCCAAATACTAGAGAAATCAATCTGAAGGTATTCAGTATGAGGACGGGGTGGGGAAATTAAGGAGCACCAGTAATCAAGTGCTAACCATGAATAACCAGGCTCTGCTGCACACAAAAGCTTTTAGATATTACCTGGAAATAATCATGTTTATTAACAACAATACAATAAACATGAATTTTCCTATCTAGAATCCCCCTACCACAAAATCTAATGCCTTAATTTATGCACCAAGGGGTTGTATTCTATTGCCCACACTTTCCCTACACTGATTCAAGTTTTTGAAAAATAATTCCTTTTAAAAATCTGTTGGGTTTTCTTGGGAGCTCTTTAGACAACATATTGCTAGGGCTGGGGATTTAGCTCAATGGCACCACACCTGCCTTGCAAATGCGATTTCTTGATCAGATTCACAAAGACAGTGGATATTTTTCAAGGCTTTATGTGAAGATTTATTATTTTATTTTTCAGAGATCATTGAAATATGGCTCAGAGTGACTTCCTCTACCCAGAGAACCCAAAGAGGCGGCAGGAAGTAAACCGTCTTCACCAGCAGCTCCTTGACTGCTTATCTGACAGCTTCCATGCCACCAATAAGCTCATTGTTGTCTTAAATGGGCATCTGGGGTGCAGGCTGGCCGCCATTGAAATGCAAAGAGATGGGACCATAAAAGAAAACTGTGATATCATCATTCACGCTGTGACAAAAATCCAAAAGGAACTGCAAAAGGTTGATGCAGCACTCAAAGATAAACTAGAGCCAACGCTTTATAGAAAACTTCAGGATGTTAAGGAGCGGGAAACAGAGAAAATTGCAATAGTACAAAAGGTTATATCAGTCATCCTGGGAGAAGCCACATCTGCAGCCAGCGCAGTGGCTGTTAAACTCGTGGGCTCGAACATCACAACTGGCATAATTAACAAGTTGGTCACTGTGTTAGCTCAAATAGGTGCTTCTCTCCTTGGTAGTATTGGAGTTGCTGTTCTTGGCCTTGGCATAGATATGATCTTCCGTGCTATCCTGGGAGCAGTGGAGAAGACACAGCTTCAAACAGCCATCAAAAGCTATGAGAAGCATCTGGTGGAGTTCAAGTCAGCTTCAGAAAAATATAATAAGGCCATTACTGAGGTCACCAATACCGTGGAATACCAAATGAAATGAATATTCATTTTACTTGCCAATGGGATGTTCTTCTGCTTTCTTCTAAATAACTGTTTGCTTTTTTGACTAGGTCCCTTTTCCACATGCTTCCAATATGGACATAAATAGGGTAGACAATTTGGAAACCGGAGATGCTAAAACTAGATGACTCTTGAGTTGTGCATCAACAATGAATGCCTGGATCCACTGGTGCTAAATCCTTCCAGACAAAAAGATTATATCCCAGAATGCTTTCTAACCCTCTTCTACAGATCTACATTAGGGTAAATGCTATTACACAGCAGCAGGTTTAGGGCTTCTTCCTTTTCTAAATTCCTGTTGTAATCCTTAAAACTTAAATTGAATGTAGAGATTTTCACTTCTATCACCAGCTTCTAACATCACTTAATTCTAAAGAAATATTGCCAGGCATGGTGGTGTGCATCTGCAATCCCAGCAGGAAGATCACAAGTTTGAGGTCAGCCTGGGCTACGTACTGAGTTGAAGAACAGTCTGAAATACACAGTGAGACCCTGGTCAGAGAGAGAGGAAGCGGGGGCCTGATTCTTAGCAACTTCTTGCTAGGCATAAATCTGGAGAGTTTGAGTGAAACAAATTCATACAACAATATTATTAACTGCTAGATTAAATCCAGTTTAATCTATAAACTGAGAGACACTGAAAAACTGTCAATAAGCTACAATGATGAAAGGACACAATAAATCTGTAAACTTTTACTAACTACGCAGTGTAAGTTGGATGGATCGAAAATAACATTAAAATGATAAAAGTTTCTATAATAGCAATCAATGCTGATCAACTGTGATGACTACATATCACTAGTGATTGACTAGTATTTTGGAACATTAAAAAAAATAAAAAGCTAAATCTCAGCCACACAATGTGTAATATGCACTTAGGATGCTGAAGAGTTACTCTTAAGGATGTGTTAGTCAAAGAGAAGTTGAATGTATTAAGATTTTTCTGGGGAAAAATATAATTTCATTTTCAATACTAACAAAAACAAGGCAGCTTTTTCTGCCACATAAAGTCATAGGGGGCCCATTTTACAAACTATCTGGTGTCAGAAAAATTCCAGAACCTATAAAAGCCTCCAGGTTCAGCTGATTTTCTACAGATGCATTTGTTTTCTAAATCCTTCACCAACCGGTAATTCTCATTGAGACTGCTTTAGAATCTACACCGTACTTCCAAAATTATTATACTTTTGGTTCAAGAATGTGTTTGCTACATTTTTTTTTCCAGTACCAGAGATCAAACTCAGGACCTTGCTCTTGCCAGGCAGGTGTGGTGCCACTGAGCCAGATCACTGGCCCTGTTACAGTTTATTCTATATCCAACTACAAAAAAAGTCTTGAAAAAAATATATACAGCATAGCTCACAATTCTTAAATAGCCAAAAGAAATTTGTAATTAGGCAAATGAAAGACCAAATTTTCAAATGTTCATTTTCTTTCTTTGCTATCGTTTATATAAATTAGCTGCAACATGTCACAATTTAGCTGAACTTCAAAATTAAATCTTATTTTTTATGACCTGGTTTATAAGCTGTGACCTACATTTTGTTAATGCTCTTGTTGAGACTCAAATTCAGTCTAACATCAAATCAAGAATTTAGTAAGACAAAGACTAGTCTACCACATGAACCCAATTTACATTGTTAAGGGCATATGTAAATATTTGGCTAAAAGTTAATATGCATCTACCAATATTTTGAGATATTTCTTCTTAATAGTAAGAATTCGCCTATATCTAACTTTTCTCTAGGAGAGATGCTTAGGTTGAGATAAGACCAAGCATGCCCTGTAAGAGCAGAATTTAATTTTTTTTTTTTTTTTGCCTTTAAAAGGATGGGAGTCTCAAGGAAAGTATAGAAAGGTCAAGCCCGAGAAATAGATGAATAATCCCGTATGTATAGTGACATCATAAAAGATATTTGGCTGGTGTCGAGTCCAGAGAGCCAATATTTATAACCTCGCCACTCCTGGCTTTGAAGCTGAGTATGCATCCCGAAGTTTCCTCTTCAAAGACTAATCCTGTATATGAGCAATCTGGGGTTCTAAAACGGACACATGTTCATTTGTTCAAGTCTACAAATGCTCTGCATTTCTAAATCACTACTGAATTTGCAGACGCACCCGACACCCACGTGGGATGGACCTGATGCTTGCAAAACACATTAAACTCAGCGTCAAGTGTTATTCGAGAAATCAATTTCAAACAGAAATGAAAACATTTTTCAC